ATAAAAATTGTGTGAAGAACCTTTTTTATAAAAAAATAAAAAAGCATAAACTTAATTAATTTTTTTGTATGGATCAATGGTATCCCTGAATTTAATCAATCTAATTTGACTGAATTATAAAATAATGTATTCTTACTTGCATATATATTATAAATAAAAAAATGCTACTCATGCCTACTACACACACACATTTAAACAATTAATACATAACAAAAAACAGTGGAGATTCAGAAATTCAAAAAATATATATCTTGAGTATTTGTTTTCCTTCAAATCGCAAACCACTCGATTCGAAAAATATTCAGCCCCTTGTCATGCATAATGGACATGACAATGGCCCGAATTCTACTGTCTATACATAACCTCAACAAATAACTCAAAAACTAACCTAAAAACAAAAAAAATGCAATTCAAACGAATTATATAGTATATAGTACATCTATATTAATCATCATACCTCAAGACTTATGTATTATCAAAATGAAAATTGGAAACAAATTATTTTGGAAACAAATTAAAAACTACAAACTAAAACAACAACCAAATCAAATCTATTTCTCTCCTATTCTAAATTAAAAATGGAATGAAAAATAAAAAAACACACTGTGAGCTATGTCCAAAATTGAAAATTAAAAACAAAAAATACACACCTATAACCATGATTCCTCCTCTACTACCCCTTACGATATACTAAAAACTAAGAATCTCGTACTTAGTTAAGATGAAAAGCTTATATTCCAATTCTAAAAAGAAAACTATTATTGATATTACCTACAAAAACTAAAAAAAAAACTACCTAACATACATACTTACATTCTAATAATTACACTTACATACATATATATTATTAAAAATTAATTATTAAAAAACAAAAACCTATAATATTAATGAAACAAACAACAAATTGATATTTAAAAATAATCGTGTTGCTACAATGCATTAATGGAATTTTTTTGGTGTATGGAATATTGAATTTTGAGGGGGACATGTTTATATTTGTATAAATATTTTTTTATTTGATTTTTTTTTAAATACCAATATTTGGTTATTATTACATTAAACAAAAAAATATTATTTTTTTAAAATATTTTTAGTAAATCCATGATTCAAGATGAGAACTCAAAAAAAAAAATGATTTTTTTTTAAGTAACAAATATTTTTTATATTACCGATTAATGACATTTTTGAAGTTCGTTAAAGGACTCAATTTTTTAATTTAAAATAGTTTGTTTTTATTTTTTTTTTAACTCTTTTACATCCTTTTTTAAAGTCAATGGATTTTTTAATCATTAAAATCGTTCTGATGTTATTTTTTTTATTTCTGATATAAAATGTCCCCCTGAAAATAATAATTTTCCATCCCAAGTTTTCCTTAAAAAAAAAAAAAACAAAACGTATTGAGAATTTTACATACACATACAAACAAAGCATACATATTAAATATTTCATTGTGGAATTGTATTTTATGCATAAGAATTTTTCTAAAAGTTATGAACGAAACAAAGAAGAAAAAAGTTGTCGAAATAAAAAAAATATCAAAGGAGTTACAATTAACCAAATAAAAACAAAAAAACGTTTGCAATACAATATTTTTTCTCCTAAATTTTGGAAAGTCTAAGAAATGGGAAATAAAATCTGATCTAAAAGTCGAATTATTTTCGTTATAAAATAATGAAAGGGTTTCGCAGGGCAAAGGAAATTGTCTAAAGTCCTCATTTCCACATTTATTATTAATCCGCCTCATCAAAACATAAGTTTAGGACCCCAAGTATTGTCATTCGACCATGTCCATGATCAGAAAATCCAATTACTATCGATCTCAAAAAAAAAAAAAAAATGAAATGAAATGGTTTCGCAAGTCCATGAAAATTTGTCTTAGGTTTTAATGAGCAATAAAAACAATGCCCACATTTAATTCGTTCATACCCAAAGTCATCAATAATTTGTCCGATGTATTTGAAGAAAAATTGAAAAATGAACCACATTTTAAGTTCGTTCCCAGTTTTATTGTTATTTTATATATTTAAAAGTCATACAAAACGATAAAAAGCTATAATAGCATCTCTTAAAAATTGTCAGATCTCAAAACTGATTAAGCTGGGTTTGAATGGCTTGAGGTTAGTGGGTTCCAACAAAGACCCCAAGTCTTGTCATTTGACCTTGGATTATGTTGACATTTTTGGAGTTGATTTAGAAGCGTCCGTATGTCTGTCTTGCTGACATACGGACGCAAGTTCGATATTGGAGACAATTCCTCAATCTCAAAAATACCAAACATTTTCAAAATAAAAACGAACAAGTATACAATATACCTGGAACGGAGGAGTATCCGATTTAATACAATCATCGAACAAAGTAATATTTTTTACCAAATTCTTCTGATATTTCCCCCCGCAAAGTGGTCAAACTTTCAAAGCAAATTGAGCATCCGCTTTGGACCAAATTTTGCACATCACCACATTTTTCCCAAAATTAGATTAAATCTATCTGCTATTTATGGTAGCTCTACACAACGAGTAAAAATGTAAATGTCATTTGAAGCCGATTGAGTATTCGATTTTATTAAAATTTAACACATAAGCACTATTATAATTCCTTCTGAGACATATGTTACAACTGTTAACATTTTTGACCCAGAAAAAAAAATTTACAAAATTACATAAACACAATCCCAAAAATAATTAAAATTGTGTCATAAACTCAAAAATATACGAACACAACCTCCAAAAATGTCAGGGAATCATAATGTTTGACCAGAACTTTAAAAAAAAGTACGAACATATCCTGGCGGTAATAACAAATCCGATCAAACCTCAAAAAATATAGACAATGACATTTGAAATAACCTCAAAAATTTCCACAAAACGTTTCTGGAGGCTATGGTTTGATTCCTTACAACCATAGGTCCTAAAAACGCAATACAACAAGTAATGTTGTGCCATACTCTCAAGAAATTTTGAACATAACTTCAAAAGATATTGACAAATGCAACCATAACCTCAAAAGATTCGAATATAACCCCCAATAACGCTGGACAATACTAATATTTGGCCATAAAATACGAATATAACCTGACGGTAATAACCAAACCGATCAAAACCTCAAAAATTGATATACAATAACATTTGACATAACCTCAAAAATATTCAAGCATTTCCACAAAACGCTTCGCGAGGCTATGGTTTGATTCCTTACAACCATAGGTCCTAAAAACGCAATACAACAAGTAATGTTTGGCCATACACTCAAAAAAGTTCGAACATAACCTCAAAAGGTATTGACAATTTCAATTATAACCTCTATGAAATCGAATATAACACCCAATAACGCTGGGAAACAATAATATTTGCTCATAACCTCAAAAAAACGGGAATGATAAATACAACCATAACCACTATAAACGCTAACAACCATGGTCGACCACAACCTCAAAGAAGAAATTTGACTATAACCTGAATAATATTTGAATAAGAAATCCAAGTAACATCTGAAAATATTAGACAATAGGCACAAATATTCGATCATAACCTCCGAACAACGCTAGGCAATAAAAATAAATCCAATATAACCTACAATAATGCTGGACAATATTAATATTAGGCCATAACCTCAAAGAAGAATGGAAAAAATCCAAACATAACCTCAAAAAGCCCTAGTATAATAATGTTCGACCACACCGAACAAATTTTCAAACAATTTTCATTACGTTCCCATCAACATCCAAATACACTAGACCCACTAATAATGTTCGTGCACAACCTCAAACGCCGATCACAACCTCTAACGTAAAAACCTCAAAAAACACTAGGCAACATGTTCGGTCCTTAAAAGCCCACAAATAAAGATTCCAAACAAGTTCGGCGATTTTGAAGATATCATATGGTTTTAATTTTGCATAGGAGGTTTCCGATGGGTTTCATAATCTTAATATAGGTCCTTGCCTTGACATTGTCAGCAAAGGCCTAACCCAATCTCAGATATTTTCAAGACCACCATCCCTTCATTTTCCAATCTATGTGGTTGCCATTTGACTATTCAAATTCGGAGATGGAAAAAGTCGCTGTAATTGAAAAATTTTCAAGACACTCGCATCATTTTCCCATCAAAGGCCTCTAATTTGGCATTTGGGGTTCTCGGAGGGTAAAAAACCAATCGAAGATAATTTTCCTGCATTGTTTTGAAAATTTGTCCAGTCATTTTCTAACCAAAGTGGCACAATTTTGGGGTTCTCGGGGGTTAAAACACCATTCGAAAATAATTTTTCAGCTTTGGCCAATGTTTTGACATTTTGCCCATGTAACGGTCCAATATAAATCCCTAGATATATTTTCCCATTGAAGTTGTCGTAATTTTGCATGAAAGGTCCTCAGAGTGTTAAAAAATCTGCTCGCAGAAAATGTTCATACTTCATGTCAAGTTCCCGTCTTTAAGTTTCAGGTTCGAAGAGGTTAAAACATTATCTGGTAGAAAACTTTCGATAAAGGTCCCTATTTGGTTGTTAAATTTTGTAGACCAAGTAATTTTTGAATTTCGGATTCGCCTAAGGTAAAAGACCTCTTGACAGAAAATTCAATATGGCCTCCAATAGTGACCCTTCAAGAACTTCAAAAGTCTTACTAACGATTTAACCGTTCTGACTTATTTCCATATTGGCCCTTAATATTCCGCACGTGCCCGTATAGCCTCTATATAGAGTTTTCACCCCAATTTGGTTCGGGTTTTTATTTTTTTTTTGGTATCTGGGGTTAAATTTTTCTTCCACTATAACCTTAAAACGTTTTAAATTTGACCTGAACCAATTTTAATTTTTTTATTTCTCATTGAGCCTACAAAAATGTTTATTTTTTCTGATTTGTATACACTTTTATTATATTTTATTTTTGTTATAATTATTTCGATTATATATTATTTATTATTTCATTCTTTTTCTTATTCTTCATTTTCTTAATTTTTTATTTCCATTTTTTCTTTTCTTTTTTTTTACTCATTCTTTCCTACAGGCCATAATCGGTGAAGAAGGACGAGAAGCTTACAATAGTTTGATCGAACGTAAGCACATTATGGGAATTGAACCGAACACCATTACCACAAACACCAACACATGTATATTACGAAAACCCGATAGCGCACAATTCCCCTTGAAATCAGCCAAGACATTGCCAAGACGTTCGTGTAACATCAACAAGGATATGGAATTTGGTATGATGAGTGGTGGATCCACGCATCACATGGAAAGATCAAATTCACACAATGAACATGAATTGGTAATACCACCTCTACAAAATGCACCCCGGCCAACAACATTGCCCACACGAGGAGCTCGTGGTCGTAAGGCAGCTGATTTGGGGTTATTTAGAGATGGAGGTGGAGGTGGTGTAGCTAGCATGGATATCAATAGTAATAATGCCACACACAATAATCGTCTTAGTGATAATATATCACCATGTGAAAGTCCCAGTTATGTGACCAATACTTCGTCTTATAAATTCCCCGAAAAAGAGGCAGGAGGAGATAGGACTCCCGATGCTGACTTAAATCCTCTGCCCGTACCACCCAAGGATGGTAAAAAACACATACAAACCAACGCCAAAAGGCATGTGAGGAAATACCCCCTAATAATACCAGCTAATGGAGTGCAACGGACACTCAACAAGGTAATGGGTGAGGATCAACAATCGGTTCTTAAGACCCTTGCAACAAGTAATGGCGGCGGCTCATCTTCCCTGACAAGAAATATGGCAACTGTACCCACCATAAAACCCTTCAATATCAATAATAATAATAACAACAACAATTGCTCCTCCTCGACCATGGCAGAATATGAAAACACCACCAAATTATCGGTGCATGCTCAAAATGAAAGAACCTATCAAAATATCGGCACTGATGATACAGCCTCTTTACAATTCGAATCCATATTGGAGGCCGATTTCAATAAAGATCAGGTTCTGCAATCACCCGATGTTACCGATGGTTTCTATAATTTTTCCATACAAAAAGATCATTATCACAAGAGTAAAGAAATGGAATTTGAGGCCCAGAAATTGGCCGGAGGCCTATACGTGAATGAGGATGAGCTGCGTAACTTGGATATTGATAAGAATTTGGTGAAGATCAATAAACAAAATATGGAAAATAAGAAATCCAATGAAAGTTTGGAGGTGAAACAAATCACAGCAACAACCACAACATCAACACCAACTCCTCCACCCGTACCCACATCGGCACCCCCCGAGGAGGCAACCTCATTGGAACCTTGTCCACAAAACAATGAAAAATCTAAAAATGAAAATAATTCCCCGGAAAGATCAATGACACCAACAACAACAGTAACAAATGTCACAAGCACCACCACCACCCAGTTATCGTCAAATGCTTCTTCATTGACCCCCCAACTGTCGGAACGTACTGTAAAGTCGGCAAAAACAAGTCTATCACCCTCTTCCAAAGCAGATAATGAGCTTGCTGGCAATGCTCTTTTTCAAAGGGTAAGAGAATCTGTTGACAAGGCCATGGTAAATAAGCCTCTGGAGGGTGCATCCTCCTCCCTGGTGAAACCTTTAACTGAAGCTGAACTATTTTCGGCAGCTGTAAATCGTCTAAATGATTCGAATTCAGTTAGTTGTGAGGATCTTTTGGAATTTTCTGATAAGAAACCGAAGGGCCATGAACGTGGCGTGGATTCTGATGAAGTTCGCATCATGATGAAAGTTTTGGGAAAAGATGTAAGTATGAGTTCTAAGAAATATTTAAATTTTTCAAATAAGTCTTATCAGATAAAGCCTACTCCATAAGCTCTGAGCTCAGAAGTCATCCAATCTACATTGAACCAGTTCGGAAGTAATATTAGTATTATAATATGACTTCCGGATCCATGCTTACCTTAATATATGACTTTCGAAGGTATATAATTTACAGTAGATGACATTCGAAATCATATACCCTTTAGTAAATAATCTACGAAGTAGTTCCATTCTTTATTTTTTACCACCGATGTAACCTAAACCGACCTCAGGAGACCAGAGAAAAACAGACCTCAGGCGATCTGAGGACAATTTTTCTATAGAAAAACAGACCTTAGCCGATCTGAGGACAATTTTTCTATTGAAAAACAGACCTCAGGAGATCTGAGGACAATTTTTCTATAGAAAAACAGACCTCAGGAGATCTGAGGACAATTTTCCTATAGAAAAAGAGACCTCAGGAGATCTGAGGACAATTTTTCTATAGAAAAACAGACCTCTGGAGACCTGAGGATAATTTTTCTATAGAAAAACAGACCTCTAGAGACCTGAGGATAATTTTTCTATAGAAAAACAGACCTCAGGAGACCTGAAGACAATTTTCCTATAGAAAACCAGACCTTAGGTCAATTTTTCTATAGAAAAACCGACCTCAGGAGACCTGAGGAATGGAAATTTTTTCTATAGAAAAACCGACTTCAGGAGACATGAGTACAATTTTTCTATAGAAAACCCGACCTCAGTAGACCTGAGGACAATTTTTCTATAGAAAAACCGACCTCAGTAGACCTGAGGACAATTTTTCTATAATAAAAAAAGAAACAAACATATTTTATATAGTAGAAGTCCTTTGATAATATTCGATATTATATCTAATAATTATTATTTTTCCCTATCTTCTATTTCTTGTAGAGTTCACCCGAACGTTGTCTCAAATCATTGGAATTCATCGAATGGGATGTCCACAAGGCCATTAAAATCATTAAGCTGCAAAATATCCTCAAGGATATGGAATTGACGATGCCTGAAACTGTAGAATATTTATTGAAATATGACTGGGATTTACATACCACAGCGAGACGTCTCAAAATGTCGAAGACTTGATTAACAAATCGTTTAAATCGTTTATATAATTATTAAGAAATTTACACACACACACACATTAACACATTAATTTTACAAAACATTAAATATTTAAAAAAATGCATGAATTTCTTTGTATCTCCCTCCTGTCTCTCTATTTTTCGACCCCTCTTTGTTGTATAAGTTTTTTATTTAAATCGATTTTATTTATTAAGAAAAAATCCTCCAGGACCCTATATTTTTTGTACTTATTAATTATTGCTTGTATAAGTTTCTCAGTCTCATCATTGATATTTTTGTTTCAATTACTTTCCAAGAAGTAATTAATCTATGTTTTTAGAAAACACAAACACCCACACATACACACAATCTTATATTATTGCATAATAATTTAATTTATATATGTATTTTTTTAATTAATACTTAACGAAAAAACAAAAATAATTGCGAACATTTAATACCACAAGTGCCTTTGTAACCAGATGATCTTATAAAGAACAAAAACACGAAACACCTATTTTTTATATTAATAAACAAATTTATTTAATAACTTAAAAAACATATTTTTATTCTTATGAGAAAAAACAAAGGACGAGTAAGAAATAATAATGGGTAAGACTAAAGATGAAAAAAAACATTCCTTATATTATCCCTCTTTTAATTTTCGAAATTTAGGAGGAGTAGAGAGTAGAAGGAGAAATGTTTCTACAATAATACAGTTCATCAAAGAATCCACGCCTTGGACATTTATAGTCAGTCCATCATAGAATGCAGTCTTACGCCAATGATAGTCCTTTGAAGAATCCACTATTGTATTAGCCCCTCTTCTCTGCACTACATCTTTCCAATCACTCTTATTTTCCCTTTATATGCTAATATAACAGCCGTATATCCTTTAATCTAACCTTCAGTTGGAGACACCAATAAATACTATCCAAATTTGAGACCAAATTGGGTCACCAACTCCCTTCATATCAAATGTAAAACTTTTCAGAAATATTGGTCCCTCTTAAAAATTAATTATTGGCTCTTCTTAAAAAAATATGTAAAAGTTTATAAAATTCCGAGCCTTTAAAATATTTTTTTTTTTTTAAATGTAAAATTTTTCAGAAATATTGGTCCCTCTTTAAAATTAATTATTGGTTCTTCTTAAAAAAATATGTAAAATTTTATAAAATTCCGAGCCTTTAAAATATTTTTTTAAACAACCACGCCTCATTTACCATTCTTTAATTTTTTTTAATTCACGCCTTAAAATGTTTTTTTTTTAATTTACGTCTGTTTTTAACCCTTTGAGCCCCAACTATCCTAAATAAGTTATGCACAAAATTTGACATCCATCCTTGCAATCGGGAGATACAGTACATTCTTTCGGAAAAATTAAAGTCCAATATCAAGAAAACCAAATGCAAAATAGACAGAAAAATCATTTTAAATTATTCTCTATATTCACTTTTACACTAAGCAAAAATAATTCTGATATCAGAACTTGTACAATTTGAATAGGAAGCGATTTAAATAATTTGGACTGTATACACAACTTAGTACTGTACACAAATTTGACCACTTCTCTATATTGAAAAGTTCATAACTTTACAAAAATTTTGAATTTTTTGGATTTTTCTTTTGAAATGTGTTGCCCACAATCAGGTTTTGACAAATGAAATCCAAATAATATATATCTACTAGCTACATATTAAATATAAGCTCTAAAACATTTTGTTGCCTGTGGGCAACATTGGGTCACAAAGGGTTAAAAATTCACGCCTTATTTACCCTTTCCTTAAAATATTTTTTTTTTAAATCCACGCCTTATTGGCCCTTTATAGATCTGTTAATCTGTTTTTCTATTGTCCTCAGGCCTCCTGAGTTCTGTTTTTCTATAGAAAAATTGTCCTCAGGTCTACTGAGGTCGGTTTTTCTATAGAAAAATTGTCCTCAGGTCTACTGAGGTCGGTTTTTCTATAGAAAAATTCTCCTTAGGTCTGCTGAAGCCTTTTTTCTATAGAAAAATTATCCTCAGGTCTGCTGAAGTCTGTTTAAAATTATCCTCAGGTCTGCTGAAGTCTGTTTTCTATAGAAAAATTGTCCTCAGGTCCTTTTTTCTAGAAGAGTTTTTTTCTATACAATTTTTAAAATAAAAACACTCTTAATTGGCCTATCACAAAATTTTTTAATCGTTTAAAGTTATTTTTTTATTCCATGCCATTCCAAACCTTATTGTATTTTCTTTAAAAGTATTTTTTCACCTAAAATACACGCCCTATTGGTGCTTCTTTAAAACTACATTTTTAAACAATCCACATTTAAATTATTTTTTATAAATTCGACGCCTTCATAAAAATGAGTCTATAAAAAAATCCACGCTTTATTGGACCTTCATCAAAAATAACCTTTATTTTAGTCATTATTAAAATTATTCTTTAAAATACCCTGTTTTAGTGGAGATTAACTAAAAAGACCACAGTTTTTTAGTCCATCTAAAAAAATCATTAAAAAAATCTTTTTTTTCAAAAAAATTCTCAATAATGCTTAAAATTGCATGCACTCATGCTAACGTGGAAATACACTCAATGATATGCTGTATTAATCAAGTCGATAACAAAATATATCGTTACTATCGATATACTACGGCAAATCGACTTTGATTAAACTTGCAAGTTATCGTTGAGGTGGGCAAAAGAAGGAAACAAATCAACGGAGAAGAAACAAACAAACATCAATCTGCACTTGTATTAATAAAAAATATTAAAAAATAAAGAATTAATTTAGTCAATGAAAATAACAAATAAACCGCTTAATTAAATATTAAACAAACAAAGTGAAATAAACATTAAACAAATAATGAGAAATTTATTGATGTAAACAAAAACAGAAAAAGGTGCAAATTGTATAGTGCATGTATAAATAGGGAGTGTAAAGCAATTTTTTTGTGGTTGCAACGAAATTGCAATACAAAACGAAGAAGAACAAGAAGACGAGCAAATAAATACCTTTGGCTAATGGACCGGTTGGCCAGTGTTGTCGGTTAAAAGTGGGGGTTAAGTCAAATAAATTAAAGAGAATAAAAAAAATATTTAATTGCCCAGAAAATTTACTCAGAGCTGAATTAAAAAAAATTAAATGATCTTTATGGTGAAAGAGTAAATTACTGTGGCTACCCCAATACTCAGAGAATAACGGTAAGACAAAGGTGACAAAAAACCGCGCTCGTTTTGTGCCCCCTTGTGTGTGTGTGTTCATTTGTACAATCAACAGTGCTCCCCACTTGGTGGGAGAAAAAACTAATATTAATAGGAGAGAGAGAGGGCAAGTGAGCTCCATCATAAATTCCAAGAGACTGAGATAGTGCTCTTCACCTATGAAACAGTGGGGCACTCACATTGCCAATGAGGTAGAGAGAGAGTAGTGTGAGATTGGGGAGACTTTCATCGTTGCTTGCCCGTGCTCGTTCACTGTTTGCTGTGCATGCAGCAGCTAGCTGAGTTGAGTTGGAGCCGTTTAACGTACAACATCGGTTGTTCGCTTGTTTTCTTGTTCATTTGTGCATATTTGCCGTTGGTTCTTTGAACACGCGTGTCTGTTTCTATTCGCCGCCCAAGAAAAAATAGTTTTTTTTGCGCTTATTTTATTTTTTACACAATTTTCTCCGAAAATAAAAAAATATCTCGGTTTGACAAAATATCTTCTGGCTGTAGTACGTACATCGACGACTACTACTACTGCTGTTGAGTGCTGTTGATTGTGTCTTAATACAATTTTTTTGTTGAGAGAAAAATAAAGTCGAACGCACAGAGACCCCCCGAAAAAAGTAAAACACTTTGTACATCGAATCCGAATCACAACATATTATTTAGTAAGTAATCAACGAACGCCAAAACGATCAGCGCTTTTAGTGTGTTTTTATAACTTGGACGACCTGTTACAGGAGGCAGATTTAATAAAAAAAAATAAACAGAAAAAAAAAACATATTTACAACCTGCCAGACCACTTTGTGTCCAATAAAAAAAATACAAAAAATAAAAACAAGTAACTGTTGAAAATTTAAAAAAAAAAATTAAAAACAAAATTTAAAAAAAACGAAGAACAACAATTAAAAGTGCCAAATAAAAATATTTTTTTCAAAAAAGAAAAAAAAAATAAAATAAAATTCTTTGTGCATTTTAATTCAAAAGAAATAAAAAAACGGCCACAGAAAATTAAAAAAACGGCCAATATTAAAAAAAATTCTAATTGACTAAAAATAAAGCAAAAACAATTTAATTTTTTTGCAATTTACAACAAAATCGATCTATTTTCTACAACAACAACGATTACTTCTACATTCATAGTAGCAACCTTAGCATCTACATTTAGTTATCTACTATATTACTACAGTGCTCTTCAACAACAACAACTACTACTACAAATAACCACAACAACAAATTATTTTTTATTTTTGTCTTCTATTGTCATTCTTCGTAGTTTATGGCCGAAAGTAAAGGAAGCATGTTGGCGAAATCTGTACAAAAACACGCTGGACGTGCCAAAGAAAAGGTAAGTTAATCACCATCAAACTCTTGTGCTTATACTTGTATGCAACACTTTGTCACAATTAACAGCAACAACAATAACAACAACAGCACAGATTACGCATATTTTGTTGCGTGCCGATTTGTTTGTAATTCAACATGGGGTTTCTAGTTTTCTTGTCGTTGCTTGGAGAGTGGGAGGCGGATAGAGAGAGAGTTCATGTCTGTCACCTTGCATTGTTGTATTGAGTATTACAATCAAACACATACTGTTGCATTGTCGTCTTCGTACGACGATGGCTACTGACTGCTGCATTGTAATTCTATTAATCCTACCAACAACAAAAACAACAGAGACATTTGAACATAACACAACATGCACAGCATTTCTCCTAAATTCTGATTGGATTGCACCGCTTGTTTTTGTTGTTGTTATTGCTGTAGTGTTTAATTAACTCTTTAAAAACACACCAGAGATGGAAGTGTGAGAGTTTGATTCATATTTACAGTGATTTTAACTGTTTTTTTTTTTTAAATTTTAATTCAAATAAAGAGGATGTACATATAAACTCTCGCAAAACAATTTAAATTACAATTCGACTATTTTGAATTTGAAATAGAAAAAATTTGAATTGCAGTTAAACAGTATGTACACTAGAAATCTTTATCGGGTTCAACTACTCCATGAGGATTTATTTGGCATATGTGCAGCAATGGAATTGACAATCTAAATCCACTGGGTTTACGAAATCCAGTATAGTGGAAATGTACTATGTAATATTAATATTTATGCATTCAAAATTTATTAAAAAGTTCGGAATCTTCTAGTAAGTTGGTTTATTTGGAAAAATTAAAAATAAATCATTAAAAATTAGGTTAAATCTTGAAAATTCTGAAAATGCAAAATTTAGGTAAATCTTCAAAATTTTGAAAATGGGTTTTGTATAACCTTTTTTAGAAAACAAAATATTAAATTACAGTCAATAAGGCTGAAACCCCCTGCTCAATGTGAGTTACCGGAAATTGATCATTTCAACACCAAACATCCCATTCTGATCTCTGTCGTGATTTCAACAAGCGGACATTTTTAAGCAGATAATTATGTGTAGATTTTCAGTATAAACAAATTCGTTGGACTTTGTTAAAAAACTATGGCGAATATTACAGTTTAGATTGTTAGGAAGCATTAACATTTTTATTGGCCTAAGATTGGACTATGTAGCTACGTAAAAGTGTTTCACTACGTAAAATTTTGTTTCGGTTTTCTTTCTGAAGCTGCTTTTATCGAATTCTAAAAAAAATTGTTTTGGAAATTTCGAAGAAAATGTTGCTTTATTTTAAAATTTCAGAAAAAGAATAATAAATACGACGGAACAGTTTAAAAATATGAGAAGTATTAAATGATCGGATAAATCTTTAATTATATAATCGGAAAACTTTCTAATTTTTAACTTGAAAATCTAAAAAATCTCGTTAGTTTGGGTTTATAATGCAACATTTTAAGCAACTCTGCTGCCGCTCTCTACGATTCTCTTTTGAATTTTTCCCCCTTGTCACTTTTTATACCTCTCACTCCTAAGAACTCAGCAGAGTTGCTTAAAAAAGTTGCATGTATATCCCAGACATAGAAATATCAGAAAATCGGAAACACTTATGAAACGATTGTCAAAAATCCAAACGGTTATATCGAAAATCGGAAATAATTTCGTTAAAAAATTGTGAGCCGAGCACCTGCAGAATGTACTATGATGACAATTTGTCCTTTATAATATCGAAAAGTAGTACAAATTTGTAGATTCCTTCAGCACGACACATATCAATAGTTGGACGGCGCCTATCCTACCATAGATTTCTTACATTGGCTTCTTTTCCATATCAGTTTTTCCCAGAGTTTTGGTTAATTTGAGCCTTTAAATATTGACAGCCAACAACCATTCCAACTAGTTAGCCAGATCCACTTCTCCGTGTAAAATTTGTGAATTTGTGTGACTATAGCCGGAACACCATGGAAAATTCTATAGCGATACAATTTCACAGGGTAATGGTAATACTAAATAATATCAAAATACGTACATAATTTTGTACTATTCAATCATCAGAGTACATATTGGTATCAATATTAAGCTCAAGGAGTAAATATATACTCCATAGAATGCAAATTGTTTAATTTTTCACACAAAAGTCTCTGTCCATTTGAGCCTTAAAACATTGACCGATCTTCATCAACACATAGATACTTATTCACCTTTTCCCATGTGATGTTAATAACTGTCCTATAGAGCGACTCGACTCATTTCATCTCCTACATATTATTACCAAAGACAATAGGTGTCTTATCTGGCCAGAAACAGACCTACATTGCTTCATAACAGTGGTCTGTGCTCTTTTTTTACAAATTATAATGGGCAGACTGACGGATACACATGGCTATAGACTTGTCCCATAAACTATAGACTTTATAAGTGATTACATACATTTTTCGATACTTTTAAATTTAAAACTATTTCGACTATAAATATAACATATATTTCCATTTTTGGAAACCTTTTAACCATAATGTAAACATTTCTAACAACTCCCATCCGAGGCAAATTTAACATTCTTTGCAATGGGTTTATGATTGTGTGTTGTTGTTTTTTCTACATTTACTACTACTGCATTCTTTAAATTGTCTCTTGTCAACTTCGTATTGTGCCGTATTTGTCGTTCTTGGTGTTGTTGCTGTTTTTCGCATTACGAAATTCTCTACCGATAACTGATTAACTGCTGCTACTCCCAACACCACTCTTCTCCACAACATAGACTAACGAGACACAAAGAGGAAGAGAACAATACAAGACAACTGTCATTATTGAGTGTTTGGTTGAATGGTAAACAAAAAAGGTTGTGTATTAGGAGTAATTTGTGTGGGGGATTTAATGGTTGGATAATTAAGTGGGTGGTTGGGAGGTCGGTTAGACGATTGGTTGGATATATATATAGGAATTATTGGATATTTGGCTTGTTCTCCAGTGGGATCTGGTTTTTAGCTGTTGTTCTTTAGCTTTACATGTAAATATTTACAAAATGTGTTTCTCTCTATGTAATTGTTGTTATATATTTCATTAAATTGCTGACGCAAGTGCATCACAACAATCAACACCTGTTTTTTGCTGCTGCTGTTGTTGTTACTTGCCTACCATTAAACTGTCTTGAAGATATTACTACGCTGTAATGTGTTCTGGATTGTTTTGTGTTTATATTTATTCGTTAGCTTTATAATAAGAGCAATTTGCAAATTGCAATTTTGTCCATTTGTTATGGTTATGAAAAAAGAGATATTCCAGCTAGATGCATGCATACTTAGTGGGGGGTGGAGGAAGACAATGATGATTTAATAATTTTTCTGTGTTTTCCTGATGTTCTGTCTGTAGGTGGTGGTGTTGTTCACCAATAAAATGCACATAGCCAATTGGTTTTCATACTTATTTCAATGTATTTATCTTGATTGCCGGAGAATTGATCACAATATGGCTCAGGACAACCATATGCTCGAATTGTTTTCAATTACAAATTATTTTGTGTAGCTAATTTTTGTTTTCTAAGGAGGGGGGAGGGTTGCTTTCCAGAATATCGTTTGTTTCATTAGTTTTGTTGACTTTCGATATGTCGATTGGTACATTAATGAAGTAATCAATTAATTGTATTGGAATTTAATAGAGTTCAAGGCCCATAAACAGATGATATGAAGCTAAAGTTCACAATTTATCTACCCTTTAACGAAGTAAGATATGAAAGGTCATCTGTAGATAAACTCATAATATTGTAGATAATCTCATTTGACATTTACTCTATTAGAAATATTTTTCCAACAAGAGGGAGCAATTGGTCTTTATAACCACCTGTGGTCTATACAGACCAATTGGTCTTTATAAAGACCTGTGGTCTCTATACAGACCAATTGGTCTTTATTTAAACCTGTGGTCTCTATAAAGACCAATTGGTCTTTATAAAGACCTGTGGTCTCTATAAAGACCAATTGGTCTGTATAGAGACCTCTGGTCTCTATAAAGACCAATTGGTCTTTATAAAGACCTGTGGTCTCTATACAGACCAATTGGTCTTTATAAAGACCTGTGGTTTCTATACAGACTAATTGGTCTTTATAAAGACCTGTGGTCTCCATACAGACCAATTGGTCTTTATAAAGACATGTGGTCTCCATACAGACCAATTGGTCTTTATAAAGACCTGTGGTCTCTATACAGACCAATTGTTCTTTACAAAAAGACCTGTGGTCTCTATACAGACCAATTGTTCTTTACAAAAAGACCTGTGGGTCTATACAGACCAATTGGTCTTTATAAACCCCTGTGGTCTTTATAAAGACCTGTGGTCTCTATACAGACCAATTGGTCTTTATAAAGACCTGTTGTCTCTATACAAACCAATTGGTCTTTATTAAGACCTGTGGTCTCTATACAGACCAATTGGTCTTTAGAAAGACCTGTTGTCTCTATACAGACCAATTGGTCTTTATAAAGACCTGTGGTCTCTATACAGACCAATTGATCCTTATAAAGATCAGAGGTCTCTATACAGACCAATTGGTCTTTATAAAGACCTGTAGTCTCTATACAGTATTTATAAAGACCTGTAGTCACTATACCGTCTTTATAAAGACTTGTGGTCTCTATACAGACCAATTGGTCTTTATAAAGACCTGTTGTATCTATACAGACCAATTGGCCTTAATAAAGACCAATTAGACTGTATACAGAAAGAAAAAGCTACACCAATAACAATGCTTCAAGACCCCAAACATAGGATTCGAGAGACTTCAAGATTTGGGAGTGGAAATTCTTAATGGAGATATCGCCTTCTATAACAGATGTCCGAAATAATCATCTCTGCCTTTGAACTCTCATCCATTACTCACCATCAATGCTAACCGAAGTTCAAATCTATTTACAACATTTTTTTTTTTTTTTTGAAGTTCACTTCCGTCTGTGTGTCGGTCGCTTGGTCGACCGACCTGGCCTGTCT